ACTGTTTTGTAATTCGTTAGAGTTTTGAAAATGAATAAAGTTGTTTTAGTTGGTCTTGGGGAGTACCCGAGGACAGAGGCACTCTTGAAAAGTCCTCGAGAGTCTTGGGGCGAGTCTTGGTCCAGTCTTGGACAGAGTCTTGAGTCAGCCTTGCGATAGTCTTGGGGACTTATAGAGTGCTCTACTGACCGACTAAGACGAGAGTTGAAACGTATTTCGTTGTGTGTGTCTTATTTGACTCTAAAGTATAAGTGACTTACCCGATCCCGTACCTCAAGGGGACGCGATAGAGAGACGAGACGAGATTCCCCCCCCCCTGGCACGTGTGGAGAACCCAGAGAAATTTCCCGTGATAGTATGAAAAAGTGTTAATCTGCTGTTGCATTAGTTAAAACACTCGGGCACCACACGGTTCCGAAAAAATCAGGACAATAACTACTTACTTAGGGTCATCTGTGCAGGTATACCTAAAACCGTACTGGGTTATAATCTCCTTCAAGTCTAAAATTGACCCCGTATCACAGGTTTCCCTGAAAAAAAGGAGACATATGTAGAAATTACACAAATTTTGACAACAGCCGTCAGTGTTTTCAAAAAGATACTTTTGGTTTTGACTTCGCATAACTTCATAGCCAGACCTTTCGCGAAAACAAGCGTGACGAACCATCCGATTTTGTGCAACTTGTATTGTACTCACGACCATGACACGTATACTTACGTAGCCGGGGTATCCAAGCTATGTATAACTACTATATTGATCATCGTGACTTGACCTTGGTCCAGGTTTGGGAGTTCATATTTGGCAAAATAACTGTAAATTATGATAAAAATTCTTTTAAAACTGGACTCATACTATGCAGTGATTATGAAATGTACTGTTAAATGCCAGACTAAATGCATGCCTAGAAATGTAGTACATATGTGTATGTCACCAGTGACAACAATAATGTATGTCTGTTCACGGAGTTGAGGTTTGTATGCGTGACGTAGTAGACGTTACACCACTACGATGTGAAAAGTGTTATACCAAATATATATTCATAATTGAAGAATATATCAAAGTGAATGGAAATTAATATAGAAAATATACATCGAAACTGATAGAACCAGATAAAACAGTTAGAAACACAATGTGCAGAGTCGGTAATATCGAAATACTCGACGTCAGACGTTCGTGTCGGTCGCATGTCGTTGATAGAGGTTGATCTCCACACAGAGAGTGTTTTCTCCCAGCATGCTTCACGTACTTTAAGTTGTCATCTTAGAGGATACTGGTATCCAACGAGTGGTTGTGTGCTATTGGATTTACTAAACGAGTGAAACGATGTTTAATATTATCCGAGGAACATATGTATTCGTTTTACGATAATTATAATAATAATAGTAACATACCTATCATTTTTGAATGCACCTTCGGGCCTGGAACCATTCAATAAAGTGAACACTTCGCCTTTAGCTTGACGGGCAAACTGAAATACAATAAAAATGTACGATTTATTTATAGTAATAGCGGGAAGTGATTATACAATTAAAACTTCAAAATGTAGTTCAGAGGTGAATTCAAATAAATAGTATACATGATTAACGACAAACCCACCGCAGTTGATGCAACTCCCCAAAAAGCTTCTTCCGCTGAACGATAGCACCTTTCATTGCATGACATGTAGTTGATGCCTGGATCGTCTGTCTGACCACACCAGATCAATTGTTGTGCCACGTAACCCGTCAATGTGTCTTCTAATGTAGTCAGCCTTTGACTCAGTGCGCTATACGCATGTGCAGCAAAATAGGTACCCGACCAGAACATAGTCTAAAGGGGGAAATCAAGCATTGTATACTAGTATATGTTATATTAACCTCCATGCGTCAGTGTTTTAGACATGGCATGACTTGTAAAAGTATTGTGTTGATGGCTAGGCAACGCTAGTTTGACCTATATTTAGTCACGTGCCAATACAATAAAGTACATAATAACATCAATTCCTGATACTAACGGGTTTCTGTACAAAGTATGTTACGCAATCCATGACCGTAACATCTCTACTTGGTTTAATAAAACCATCGGAAAGCCATCGGATTCTGAGAAAGTTCGACCAATACGTGAAGAGCACACATCGTATGTTGTTAGGCCCATTCGTGTTGCTTGTTTGGAGTTGAAACACTCTACAACTTTGTGAACCTATCTTCCTCTAATCAATCCCAATTACAATGTAATATGCATACCTTATCGACGCCAACGTCATGCATGGCAGCTTCAGCGAAATCTTTGTACAAGTCACCAGTCACGTTACACGGATCACGATATGCAAAACCACTACGGAATAATTGCCATAGTTCTGAGCAATTTTTCACGTCACTGTAAAATACACCAAAGTTACTGGTCGTGAATTTCAATTTAGTATGAAAGTAAATTGTTTTATTTTCGAATACTAGTTATTCCAAGTGTCATTGTCTTGATATGGCTATTGGAATGAACTGATAATCAGAAATGTACACGATAGAAATATAGGTGACTCATTAAAGGGCGGCAGTCGTCGCGCCGCGTTCTGTTCGATATGGGACTCATAGCGACGTATACAACGCGTATAAAATACATTGTTTATTTACATGAAATTCGAGCACGCGCTGCGCGACGACCACCGCGCTTTAATAGAAAGTAGTAAGAGTTTGAACATCAATATGTTATGATATCAAACCCCATCCATAGTGCATTCATAGGAATATAAAGAAATACAGCACTACAACCCTCACGCCGCGGTGTATTCGATAAGGGTTCCAGGCGACATATGCAACGCGCGTAAAACGTTATTTGCTTTCACAAAATTTTAACGCCTGCTGCTGCATGATGACGACTAAGACGAACGTTAACGATGACCAATATAACTACGAGCTTGTGCAACCCCTCATGTAACCAATATAACCACGACTTAGGACCATGTGCCACAACACGTAACCAATACAACTGTCATGAATTAGTTTTTGCGTATCGTTGGTCGACTTAATTAGCTGATTACGAGCGAATTGCTGTGTTATGTCTGTCATCGTTTAGGCCTATTTGAAGTTTTGGACGGAACTTGGCTCAGTGATTTGGAAATAATTACCAGATAACCGTCGCTATTCTGACAGTTGGTTTCCATAGTTATTAATGTAGTGAACGATTAATCAAAAGATATGACGTATTCAGTGCTTAGTGTGATTGGCTTTATGATTGAAGGTTACGCCCTAGAGTCTTTTTACTGTTTTGTAATTGGTTAGAGTTTTGAAAATGAATAAATAGAGTTTGAGTTGGTCTTTAAGAGTACTCCACGACAGACGCAGTCTAGAGCAGTCCTGAAGAGATATAGAGACGAGTCGAGAGTCGAGTCCAGTCCGAGAGAGTCCTGGGCAGTCGAGAGTGCAGTCCTGGAGAGCCTTGGGGCGAGTGTTGACGCAGTCTAAAAGGGTCTTGGGTCAGCCTTGCGATAGTCTTGGGGATTTTTCCCCAGGGCGCTGTGTCTTATAGAGTGCTCGATTGACCGACTAAGACGAGAGCTGAAACGTATTTCGTTGTGTGTGTCTTAGTTGACTGTAAAGTATAAGTGACTTTCCCGATCCCATACCTCAAGGGGACGAGATATAGAGACGAGACGAGATTCCCCCTGACACGTGTGGAGAACCCAGAGGGAGAGGATTTCCCCCCTGATACAACCACTAGCTGTGTGCCACAACTCACGTAAGCAATTGCCACCCCTCACCAGATGCATTTCTCCCACACGTAACCAATATAACTATGAGCTGTGTGCCACGCTCACTTAACCAATACCGCCACACCCACACGCAACCAATACCGCCAGGAGTCGTGTCAGCCTCGAGCTCACGTATCCAATATAACCACTAGCTATGTGCCAGCCTCACGTATCCAATATAACCACTAGCTGTGTGCCAGCCTTAGTTATCCAACACATGTATAAGCAGGCTGGTTGTGTGCCAGCCTCACGTATCCAATATAACCACTGGTTGTGTGCCAGCCTCACGTATCCAATATAACCACTAGCTGTGTGCCAGCCTCACGTATTGAATATAACCACTAGCTATGTGCCAGCCTCACGTATCGAATATAACCACTAGCTATGTGCCAGCCTCAGTTATCCAATACATGTATAACCACTGGCTGTGTGCCAGCCTCACGTAACCAATATAACCACTGGTTGTGTGACAGCCTCACGTATCGAATATAACCACTAGCTGTGTACCATTCTCAATTATCCAATATAGCCACTGGTTGTGTGCCAGCCTCACGTATCGAATATAACCACTAGCTGTGTACCATCCTCAATTATCCAATATAACCACTGGTTGTGTGCCAGCCTCACGTATCCAATATAACCACTAGCTGTTTACCATTCTCAATTATCCGATATAACCACTGGTTGTGTGCCAGCCTCACGTATCGAATATAACCACTAGCTATGTGCCATCCTCAATTATCCGATATAAACACTGGTTGTGTGCCAGCCTCACATATATAATATTAAACCACTAGGTATGTGTCAGCCTCACGTATCCAATACATGTATAACCACGAGCTGTGTGCCAGCCTCACGTATCCAATATAACCACGAGCTGTGTGCCAGCCTCAATTATCCAATACATGTATAACCACTGGTTGTGTGCAAGCCTCACGCACAGTCAGCTGGCGCACACGTGATAATAAAATAAATACGATATTTACTATATGAGAGCCGCCATCTTGAATGACGCATAAAACTAAATATTAAAGAGACAAGTTGTGAAACGCGTTTTTTAGATTCTTACAAATCAGGACAAAAATACCAATCTTTCACAAAAATACGGTACGTCGGGGTTATATTGAGCCAACCGAT